TTTTCGTGCAGGGCAACTCAGGAGCCTCTCTTGAATTGGCTTTCATCGTGTTGAATTAGACATTTGAATATTTGCTACTACAACAACGTCTTGTATATATAGTATATACATATATATTATAATATATATAAACATGAATATATATTATATATTAAATAAAATAACTTGTATGGCATTAAAATAAAAATAAAAGTTAAAAACTACGAACACGAACATGTCGAACAATTCGAAGTATATATGTAGTATGTAATATCTAGTATAGTATATAGTATATAGTTTGTAGTATGTAGTATCAAGTATATAATATGTAGTATGTAGCATATAGTATTTTGAATTGTATTATGTAGTATGTAGTATCTATTATATAATATGTAATTTATACATTATAATATGAAGTATGTAGTATATAGTATATAGTATATAGTATATGGTTTTTAGTATATAGTTTATAGTTTATAGTTTATAGTATATAGTTTATAATATATACATATAGTATATAGTTCTTAATACTACTTAATACTACTTAATAGTTTATAGTTTATAGTACATAATACTACTTAATACTCTACATAGTACATAATATTATATACTAAATGCTACATAATATTATATACTAAATATTACTATAGTTTATAGTATATAGTGTATACTATATACTTTATAGTATATAGTATATGAAGTATGTAGTATATAGTATATACGTTATAGTATATAGTTTATAAATCTCGATATTCAAGGATAAGAATATAATTTGTGTAGAAGTTAACGTGATCGCTTAGCGGCAGGATGGTATTGAAGTCAGCCTTGAGGGTTTGAAACGTCCACATCCGGGTTCGATTTCCCTCAAGTGCAAACCTTCAACCATGACTTTAAATATGTAAAACGTATTCTGAGAATACGTTTTACAGTTAAATATAAAAACAAAAAAAATCCTCTTCTTCTCCACTTGCACGAGCAGATTCATAGAGAGCAGAGAAGAGAGATTGAGAGAGCGAGCGAGTTCGTGAGTTCGGAAGAAAAAAAACAACGCCCCGCCCACCGCGCCATCGCCGTCGCGTGCCGCTGCACTGCCAACGCGCCTCCTTCCCGTCTATTAGGTACGTTTCTTCTATTAGGCTTTAATTTTTTCAGTTTTTTCAATTATTTGGAATTATGGCTAAACTTAGAGTTTTCAATAATTCTTCGAATTCGGCTTCGAAGTAGGGCTACATTTAGGGTAGTTTAGTTGCGTCACATTTGAGATGTGGTGGTGTTCGATTAGGGCTTCCATTGGGAATTTATATAATATGTTTGAATGTGGTGGTTTGAATTGCTAACTGAGTTATGAATTGAGGTTAAGGTTTTGAATTGGATTACGGTTTTTGAATTGGATTACAATTTTTGAATTGGATTAGGGCATGGATGGTGTGTTTCTAGCAAAAGCATGATGTTAGGGTTAAGATCTCATTGTGGAATTTTATCGAACACCTTGTGTGCGGATTTTTTTTTTGACGAATTTGCTTTCTTTTTCATTTGCTTTGCTGTTTAAATTGATTGGTATGGAGAAGAAAGTGATGTTTGGCATGAGGTGACTTTATTTTTTAGCTTAATTGCTTGTGCTTTGCTATTTAGTGTGAATTTATTTTCGTTTAGTGAGAATATAATTTTCTTGTATATAATTTTAATGTGAATTTATTGTGTATATGATTTGTCAATTTGTGAATTTATTGTGTATATAAGATTTTTTTTAATAGAAAATGGCATCATCGTCGTCCTCACAACCGCAGCGCTACAATGTACATCTCAGTCCGAGGGATGCGTCCCTTCTATATATTCAGTACCGCCACTGGTCGAATGCGGTATTCGAAGATTTAGAGGGATGTCGTGACGGCGTCGTTAAAACTCGTCGTTGCGACACTGGGTTTTGGAAGGCGTTGGACAAACAACATCCTAGAGTTTGGGAGGTGATCGAGAGGACAGGTTTTGGGCCGCTGTTTAGAATGGCAGAGTACAGACGGACAACAGCCTCATTACTTGTCTGGTGGAAAGGTGGCGACAGGAGACTCATACCTTCCACTTTGACTTCGGGGAGGCCACGATCACGCTGCAGGACGTAGAAGTCCTATTTGGTCTCCCGATCAATAGAATTCCTTGTTGGGGAGAGACTCAAGATCGCACACCCCAAGAATGGCGAGACGCGTGTATGGATTACCTAGGGTTCGTGCCCTATGTCTAGGTAAATTTTTTCCTACAATTTTTTTTTTTTTTTATTTTTTCCTACAATTTTTTATTTTATTTTATTTTATTTATGTTTACTCCATTCTTTAATTTTTAATATATATAAACCACTCTCAGAATAACGACGACCCGGAGCGCGACCCCAAGACTTGGACAATTAAAGGCCAGTTTTTGAGGATCTATGGGTTAGAAGAGGAGTGCACCAGCGAGCTAACAGATGGAGACCAAACCCAGGACTACGAACAGAAGGCGAGGGCCCTTATACTCTGGTGCATCGGTTCCTTCTTCTTCCCCGACCAGAGGGCCAATGGAGTGAACCTCTACTGGTTGAAGCATTTGCACGACATCGATGCGATCAAGACGTACAGTTGGGGTTCGGCGCTCCTGGCCGGAGTCTATAGAGCGCTCTGCACAAGCTACAAGGCCGGAAAAACAGGATCAAGAACTGTATCCAATTGATTCAGGTACATTTATTTACTTGTTATTTGAAAAATTATTTTTTTATTCTAATTTAGACTAATATCTAATAACAAATGCATATGTCGATATGTGTAGGTTTGGTCATATGAACGTATCCCTCGTATTTGCCCGAAAATGAAGGATACAAACTTTCAGAGTATCTGTGGTTGTCCCTTAGGTGGAAGGTAATCACATTTATTTATATTTAATACTGAGATTATTTCCATTATCAAATTTTGTGATTACAAAGTGTTTTTTTTCTCTATGATTTTAAGGTGGGTGGGACGGAAGGACACGAAACACATAGCTAAGGGAACAGCCGCTGTCCGGGATCAATTGACAGGGCTGAGAGAGACGGATGTAAGATTAGTATTAAGTCATATTGATTATTATTTATATTTGTTTTTTGTTTTTAATTTTTTTATAACTTAATTCCTAATTATTATTATTTTTGTTTTACAGTTCGATTGGGTGCCCTATCAGCGGCACCTGCACGAGGGTACTCTCCCGGCCCAGTGTACAGAAGGTTCACGCCTCTGGATGTATAGGGGGTGAATCTTCTGTTGGAACGTCCGTGAAGTCCATCTGCCTGATAGGGTCCTCCATCAGTTCGAGTGTTAGCAGTCCATCCCCGAACCTCCGATCATTAGGGGTGAGGCCGAATGGGAGACACGCCACCGAGGCCAAGGAATGACTAGGAGGGCATTCCATGATTGGGTCGCCTTTCATGGAGAGCTTGAGAATGCTTGGGTCGAACAAATAGACCAAAATGTCCTCCCATATTACCCTATGGAGCCATTCCTTGAGCCTGAGGCGGGTTACATTGATTGGTTTCACAGTACGTCTGTGAGACTAATCAGTGACCCTGCTAAGTACACTGTGGACCAACAAGACGAAGGATATCAGCTACTTGCTGAGCGGCAGAAGTATGATGTAAATGTTCATAATTTGTGGTTTATTATTATTATTATTATTATTATTATTATTATTATTATTATTATTATTATTATTATTATTATTAT